GGGCAGTGTGTGTGTATGGGGGCAGTATGGGGTAATGTGTGTGTATGGGGGGCAGTGTAGTGTATGTGTGGGCAGAGTGTGTGTATGGGGGGCAGTGTGTGGGGCAATGTGGGGCAGTATGGGGGGCAGTGTGTGTGTATGGGGGGCAGTGTGTGTGTATGGGGGCAGTATGGGGGGCAATGTGTGTGTATGGGAGGGCAGTGTGTGTTTATGGGGCAGTATGGGGGGCAGTGTGTGTATGGGGGGCAATGTGTGTGTATGGGGCAGTGTGTGTGTGAACACACCCCCCCCAGCTTACCTGTCACTGGAGGCTGTTGCTGGGGGTCAGGCAGCCATCTTCTGAAGCAGCATGGGCTGCTGCATTACGGCGGGGGCGGGGCTTATCTGCGGGAGGCGGGGCTTCGTTTAGGGGCGGGGCCTTGCCAGGGAGCCAATCAGTGCTCCCTCCGGCCACAGACAGCCCCCAGCACCTCTCTCCTGCATTCCCTCGGGCTGTCACAGGCTGTTACAGTCCGAGGGAAGCCCATGGCCAGCAAGTTGCTGGCATTTGGGGGGGCCCAAGGGGGGGCACAGGATGATGTAGGGGGGGCCATGGCCCCCTCTGGCCCCCCCCTAGCGACGCCACTGGTGGTATCCTCCCATGAAATTTCTTGTTTAGTGTTACGTATTGTAGATTCGCTAACAGGGATGTTAGCATTTGCCAGTGACTTTTGTAAGTCTTTAGCTGACACTCTAGGATTCTTCTTCACCTCACTGAGCAGTCTGCACTGTGCTCTTGCAGTCATCTTTACAGGATGGCCACTCCTAGGGAGAGTAGCAGCAGTGCTGAACTTTCTCCATTTATAGACAATTTGTCTTACCGTGGACTGATGAACAGCAAGGCTTTTGGAGATACTTTTATAACCCTTTCCAGCTTTATGCAAGTCAACAGTTCTTAATCGTAGCTCTTCTGAGAGCTCTTTTGTGCGAGGCATCATTCACATCAGGCAATGCTTCTTGTGAAAAGCAAACCCAGAACTGGTGTGTGTTTTTTATAGGGCAGGGCAGCTAACATCTCACTCCAATTAGCTCTTGGAGATGTCATTAGTCTAGGGGTTCACATACTTTTTCCACCTGCACTGTGAATGTTTACATGGTGTGTTCAATAAAAACATGCCAACATTTCATTTCATGTGTTATTAGTTTAAGCAGACTGTGATTGTCTATTGTTGTGACTTAGATGATGATCAGATCACATTTTATGACCAATTTGTGCAGAAATCCACATCATTCCAAAGGGTTCACATACTTTTTCTTGCAACTGTATATAAATATCATAATAATAATAATATCGAACAAGAAATAGTCTACTAGGGAAAATCTGTTGTGGCGGGCCAAGTAGAGGGTGAAATAAAAATGGCATAGTGTTGGAACTTTTCTTAGTGATCACTATACCCAGAGGAAACCACCCTCCTTATGCCATGGACTTTTTGGTTCTGTCCAACCAAAGTTTATTACCCAAGGCCTTGGTGTACCCGATGAAACAGACACTAACACACAAGATGAAGTTTCAAAAGCAAACCAATCTATGTGAAGAAAACAAGGGTTTACATACGCTTGCAAATAGAAGTTTTTAGACTTTCAGAGGTGGGCATAACAGGTTGAGATGTTTTGTGCAAAAGTATTGTAGGAACCTACGACCATAGACAGCATAGACAGTCATGCATTAAACGTACCAACAGGGTTAAATCCCAAGGAGATTCATGAATCATTGGATAACTGAGGGTCCCCTCTGTCAGCTGGGACCATGACAGCAGGAGCGAATACTTCTTTAGAACAGCCAAGGTAAAAAAAAATAAACAGAATCAACAATGAGCGTAAACTAGCCAAGGTCAAGATTATGGAAAACAGCTAAGTCCGGATACAAGCTATAAGCTGATAAGCAGTAACATTTTAAAGTCACCAATCATCTGATTTGTGAGTCAGATTAAGCTGCCTTGATTCAACTGCATGCAAATCACAAGCAGTAATAAGAAGCAGGTGAGTCATACATACAAGGCAGCAATACGTGAACCCAAAACTAGGCTGATATATGTCAGTGTGATGACTCATACCACTGTCTGTGGGAGAGGGTTTCAACTCATTTTATGAAAAGTTTTATTCTCATAAAAACAAAACTCTCAAAAACGAGCAAAATTGCACATATTGACTTAATTGCGCCAATAAAAGAACTACAATTCATTTGCTAATTTAAGCCGGCGAACTGTTCGATGCATGATTTTGTTTTTATTCTTTGTTTGTTAATTATTTTCATTGTTTTATATAACTGTTGTAAAATTGTAAAGTGTTGTGGAATAGGCTGATGCTACATAGACGATGATAATGTTCATTTTAAACATTACAACAATAAATCACGTAGACACACATTGCCATCATGATTATATTAGCTTATCCTATCTTTTTTAATGTAAAACTGTTATGAATTTAAATCTGAGTGACACAATTAAAACTAAAACCTCTAAGATGTGACAATATCTGAAATGTTTAATATAAGCTATATTAGATTTAATTTTGCCAGTTGTTCATTGAATAGGTCTGTGTGTGCTGAGATGTATGTGTATGCAGTGTCAGTGTATGTGAATGGATTGTTTGTGTAAACCTAAATACAGGAGTGTGCCTGTCGACTGTCAGTATGTACGTAATTTTGTGGAGTGTCTGTGAATGAGTGAAAGGAATGCTGTTCATTTTGTGTGTGTGTGTGGGAAGGCCCCTGCCTTAACACACACTGTCCAGCACTGCCCCAGGAAGCACCTCTAGCAACTAGCTGAGAATTGGCCAGTAGAGTTATCCCTATGCTTTAATGTAAGCATTGCACTTTCTCTGAAAAGAAACTGATTGCTGCAAAAAGCCTGAAGGGAATGATTATACTCACCAGAACAAATACTATGTCTATGGCTCGATTTAATGTTGCTGGATAAGTTTTACAAATGATTTAACATTTTCACAATATAAAAATATTTAAAAAATATATCCTATATAATAAAAAAAATCTAAATATTAAAAAAAATGTCATAATATCAAATACATGTATTCAAAAATATTATTGTTATCCAAAAATAACAATTCATAAATTGGGTATATAACAAACAACCTAAAACACTATTAAGTAAATAAATCTATAAAAATATAGATGAGAATATTCAAGGATATAATCTTTCAATGTAGGGTAATAACTGCTTGATCCAAGGATAAATCTGACTGCCATTCTGGGGTCAAGAAGGAATTTTTTTCCTAGCTTGTTGCAAAATTGTGCTTCAAACTGGGTTTTTTTGCCTTCTTTTGGATCAACAGCAAAAAACAAATGTGAGGAAGGCTAAACTTGATGGACGCAAGTCTCTTTTCAGCTATGTAACTATGTAACTATGTAACTATGAGTGTGAAATCCCAAGTGTTCCTCACAAAAACACCCAAATATAATATAGAAACAAAAAATGTGGGCAAAAAATATTAAATTGAGGCATATGTAAGATAGATAGATATACAGACAGACAACTTCCATGAAAGTTTGTGCAGCCCTAATCACACCTCCCTACGTGTGACTTGCACAGCCTGCTTAAACCTCCTCTATTGCAAATTCTGTTCCATTTCTTATCTCTTGCCCTGTTAACAGCCTTGTAGAATCTGCATGATTCATGAATCTTGAATTTGTGCCGTTGTTTTCCCCCCTGTGGACCAGCAGGAGTTATCACAGTCCTTGGACAACATGTAACTCTCTATTTGCTCTGAACCTGTAGAACTTTGATGATGAAGTTGTTGTTTGCTTAGTCTCTCTCTGTATCTTTCTTTGAATACACTGAATACAAGAGATGGATAGCCTCCGCCCTCCGCACATAAAAGAGCAGAGGAGTATTATCCTAACAGGGTTGCAATCTCCCAAATAGGCGGTATTCTAAACCAAAATAAAAAATGAAGAAATAAAATCCCAGCAGTATTAATACCATCACAGCATATAGTCCAATAAGGGAAGGGAGTTTTGCTAAAAATTACAAACCTTTATTGAAAGCCATTGACGGAAAAATATTTTCCTGTAAGACTAAGATACTCAAAGATAGCAGTGAACAAATGTGAGTGTAGTTCAGTCACTAAAACCGAAAGCATAAATTAGAGTATCAACTAACAAAGTATGCAGGCTAATGAAAATTTATAAACTAGATACAACAGAAGCTCATTATTCGTCTCTGAAATCACCCTCAATATAGTCATGGCTGACATGCGGAGGTCCCATAAAATGAAAAAAGTATATTTCGAAGTTCAATTTACCTTTATAGAAATAGTTGGAGGAGAGCATCAAGAATACACCTGTAATCATAATTTCCACCACTATTAAATGGCTATCCCTGGTAGTAAAAGCTAATAAGACCAGAGTGTCTTATTATTATTAGCTATTAGCTATTAGCTAACTTTTTTCTTTATTATATTTTTTTGGTCGACTAGACATCCATGCATGCTGTGAACTCACTGCAAGAGGCTCCATTCTGAATTGATCCATAGATTTGTTGTTGTCTATAAGAAGAAAGCTCTAGACCTGGTTTAGGCAACTGATAAAGATTAACATCTTTTTTTTGTTGCTGCTTTTAAATTACACAGATTTCATCTCTCCCTTACAGAGTGTTTGTGGTTGCTTCAGCACGGTTATGTTTTATTTATACATATAATATACATTGTAATAAACCACAAGACTGAAGGTAGAGTGATTTCTAAATGTCTATTATTTGATATTATAAATGTATTATTTGTCCTGCATACAAGCCTTTTATTGTACATATTTAATGAATAGGTGTTAATAGTGATTGTCAGAGTAGTGTGGGGATTAATGTCTAGTCATATTGCAGTGTAGAGATTAGTGTTTAGTGTAGTGTAAGGGTTAACATTTATGGCTATTTTAGAGTTAGTGTACCCTAGTGGTTAAGGTAGGAACTTAACTGTCAAAGCAGCACTTGGACATATATGACTAATGGGAGTCACAGTCCCCAGCTGCTGCCAGCCAGTAATAGGGATCTGTGCATTATTTCCCATTCATTATTAGGTTAATAGTTATTAAACAGATGACGTCACCATATGTACAACAGGGGATGATCTACGTATCTACATGAAATAACAAGCAAATCACTATATACACATATATACACTAAAGTGGAACAGCATTCTTTAAAATGATTAGCTGTCTTCTTACTACCACTGTCAGTGCTTGTACGATGGTAATGTGATGGTAAAGTCTTCTTCTGGCAAATAACATGTTAAGAGTTTGTGGTTTCTGTACAACTGAATTGAACATCGTTTCCTTTTTCTGTTCCTTACCCTTATTGGTTTATTCACACTTCCTCCTAAATGTGGTTACCTCAAAAAGGTCTCATTCTAAAATGTCTTAAACCCAGTCTGGGCATTTCACTCACATCTTTGCTACCATGGATAGTGCTTCCATTTGGATTCTGCTCCTGTTTGTCCGTCTAGCTCTTGGGGAGAGCGGAGATTCACAATATGGTAAGTGATAACAGCCTCCACCTAGATTCTAGTTCTAGATTTTAAGAAGTGTTCTGGAACAAAATCAGATATAGCACTTTTTTGTTTTTATTTTACACAAGCTTACGAGATTACAGCCGGCAATGTTAGCAACAAGTGGTTTCTCTCACTTTTTGAAGACTTTGGAGTAAAACTATTTTATAGCTCAGTAGAATTTTATTAATCAAGTTTATAGAATTAGGTGGTGTGTTAAAATGACCGATCACTTTGATTCAAAGCAGAGTCATACAGTTATGATAAAAAGGTACTAGACTTGGTAAAAATGAGGTATGAAGTTGAATGGTCTTGGATGGTCAACACTTGCACCACAAAGTGTGGCAGGTGTGGAAGACTTTTTTTTTTATCCATGGTGGTTTTGAAAGGGAGTAACAAATTTCTGCCTCCTTTTTATCAAGGTTCGACATCCCATTCCGGGGTCTGCCATGATTAGAGGAACGGAGCTATAAGTACTGTAAAGCCAAAAGCATTACTTTCTCTGCTAGATAACTGATTACAGTAGCACTATTTATCTATATTGCTACCCCGGACAAAGATGGATTGAATTCGGTTTTAGAACTTGACTACAAATTGGTAGGCAAAAACTGAAATGAGATCAATGAAGTCATATTCATTTTGATCACTGTCAAGAGAAGATCCCCATGTTGGTAGATTTCATACGTTTTCATAGCCTAAATTGACATAACAATTTAGCAACTGTTTATTAACATGTGCCAATAAAGGATGAAAGCAGTTTTTTTTGTAAATATATTCTTGGTCTGTTTTCATACTGACCTTACCATAACATGGCATGATTAAGTGAAATTTGAAAAAATAAAGTCCTATTTTAAAAAATAAATTAGTTTAGCTTCAACTTTATTGTCACTTTTTATTGTATAGACAAAGACAATGAAATTTTGAATTGTGAGTTTTTTTTGCTGAACGTATTCAAAAATAGCTGAGGTGGAAAGAGAACTATTTTAGTCTAGATTTTGCAAATCTATAGTCAGTTCACAACAACACCATCTCTCTAGCGAACAAAAATACATTTTCACTACAGATGTGTGTAGCATGACTGCAAGAGTAAGCTGTTAATTTCAATTTACACTTTAATAATTATCCTGAATATAATTATATTCCAGGGTTAGTT